CGAAAATTGCAAAAACAGGTGGTCAGAGAGACTTAAAATTCCTTTTTCACTGAATGATTACTTAAACAATAATCGAAGATTTGTATATAAAGTGAAATGATTATAGAAGTGCATTAAATTTCGCGTGTATAATTTTAGCGGATCCTATTTTTCGCGAGGTTTTAATTTCGCGATTTTATCGCGAAATTAAAGCCTCGCGAAAATTAGTACGAATATTATAATGTATTTTTGAATTAAATTTATTGTATAAGCAACTTCCTCTCCACTCCCTAAATATATCATTGTATGATTTTCTCATTTTATTTTTTGAAATTTCCCGCTTTCCCTTCAATCGCTAAAATATATTTTTACAGTGACATGTATTTMTTGTTTCCGTCTTCCGTGAATCAAACATTAACATATTCGCGCGTAATAAGGAAATCCTAAATGCCGGATTAATACTTTAGGAAAACTTCAATCTCCAAAATCATTAATTATATCAACTTTGTGTACGACTGACTGTTTTCCCTAGTGGTTTTTTCCCCTAATAAGAAAGAAAACATAGGATTTACGAATTAACTGAGCCATATTGTCGTTCATAAAGTTTCATGAGTCTCAAGCTGTTTTCGAAYGAGCAGTTATTTCYCAGAYAGGTATTTTACTGCTCTTTTACTGCTCTTTTAAAGATTCTCGACCTTCAATAGCGTTAGTTCCTCCTGGAYGTTTGATGAATGACCCAAACATATGACATACAAAACTGACAAATGCAACTAGCATGCCGAGTGAATAGTGGAAGTTAGCCAAAATATTCATTTTCAAAAGTTTTTTCTGGTAAATCTTAGAMTATTAGATTCTTTAGTATTGTAATATGTTATTGCTTGCACATCATGTGCTTCTCGTGACTGAGCTCAGTAGAGACGTGAACCGTTTATATGGTCCTCCTTAATGACATGTAATGACCTAAGAGAACCGCAAGTTGAACTTCCCTAAAATGGCACAGCTTGAGTTGGGAGTCCTAGCCTGCGTAGCCAGGCGTTCCTAGCCGCTCAGAGAGAATTTGGGACGGAGAAACACAGAAGAGAACGGCGTAATGGTTTGATATAGAATTGTGCGAAGGTATTTGTTTAAGCAATAAACGATAGCTTGAAGGGTTTACTGGCGAAATAAACCGCGCGGGATGGTTGGGAGAACACAAGGGAAGATCCGTAAATCACGAGCCGTCAGGCGATCCGATTGGTTTACTAGCTTTTTGTTAAAYAAAAGAAAACAATACTGACTTAAGAACGACGGAACAATGAGCATTTTTTTATTCCTCCAATCACAAGAAACCTTACAAGGTCGTGAAGGATAACACAGAGCTCAAGGTGCATCGTGTACAACATTATCATACAGGAACCACATGATGAACATGCAACAACATATTACTACACTTACAGTCTTAGATTAACTGGGAAATTAAAAAATATATTACTTTTTGAATGGATTAAAATATGTCCCGTAACAAAACGACTAAAAAAAGCCTTTGGTTTCCTTTAGGTCAGGTTTAGGGTTAGGTTTGCATCTTAGCAATGAAAATAGAGATTTACGTCCAGTCGGTTATGTAAATATGTAAAAACAATAGAAATTATTATTACAACCATAATAAGTGGATCACACGTGTTTTGTTAGCCCCATTTCAATGCTACTAACTTTTCATTGCAGTATTGTCCATAAATGTAATAATTAACCATATAATGTAATAGCTGCACTAGTGAGATACAGCAATATGCAGAAATTATGATCTTTTTTGCTCAATTACAAGTATGTATATAATATATCCGAAGTTTTGGGATATCTTTGCCAATATTTTTTTAAAGTAATTAATGCCTGGCAACAAAATATTAGCGATGATATCCCATAATTTTTTGCATATTGCTATAATCAAGTATAAATTAGATAATAACCAAAAATGTAATAATAACAATCAAACATAAATGCAATAACTCTAATTATCATATACATATCATAGCATATCATGTCATAATCATAAATGTAATAACGTAATAACGGGAACCCACCATAAACGTAATAATTGTCCGATCAAAAGTTCTGTTTATCAGTGAACCACGTGACAACTGATATTTCGCCTGCACCGGTGAAATACAATCGTACATTTTTTTTTATTGTAAAGGGATATTTTAGAAATGTGAGGACCAGTACTTAAAAAATGGCGGACCAGGTGACGCATAACCATTTTCCTATACTGACTATAATCTCTCGTAAATTTAGCAAAGTATTAATTAAAAGATTTAGGTTTTAGATCATTACTGGCACCAATACTTAAAATATTGCCATGTGCTTCGGGATATACTTGTAATTATCGAATACATTTACTTTTTCAGAGTTTATTCAATTGATCTTTTTCCTTATCAGGTCTGTTTATGCCAAATAATTTACTCTTGATTGTTGTGATCCCAAAGTTCGCGTCAATATATGTGGCTCTCAGGCATACGGAAATATTGCTAATAGAATTCGTTTCAATTCCCGTTATTTTCCGGAGCTGATAATGTAAACCCGTGAAACAAAACCTAACTATGATAGAGATACACCCGTATAGAGTCAATTTCGTATGAGGGGGAAACGTACGGTAGAAATTACCGCACGGTTACCGCACAGTTACCAGACCTATGGCCTGCACAATTTTTGTGAACCATATTGAGACACTAGAATTTGGTTACAGTATGATTACGGTCACAGTACAGTACCGTCCGTTTCCCATACGAAATTGACTCTATTAATTATCTCTGATGACCATACGAAACCAGCTTGTAGCAATAAAACAATGAATCCTTCAAGTCTTTAAGTACAATTTTACTTTATATTAATACATACATATATCAGTACTAAATACTGATAATATCAATAATTCGTGAAACGAAGAGTTATATCAGCCAGTGTAGTTAAGTATGATATTAAGAAAAGAAAAAAAAAATGCAATTAAGAGTAATAAATTGTCGAGCGCTTAATTCACGGTTACTCGAAAATTACTATAGCTTTTTGTATGATTAACACATGATTGACCTTTGCGCGCGTATCCAGACTACGTCACGAACCAAAATTGGCAACCACAAAAATATATGATGACCTTTCGTAAAGAAATGCAGAAAAAAAACTCTTGCGAAACATTTTTAAGAAGTATTTGAGCTAGTCGTTTCCGTGAAAAGTTCRAAATCCGCATTTTTTTCACCGACATCATCGGAACAAAAATAAGGTCACGACATATGTTGTAGGCGTTGTTGTTCAGTCTTGTTTATTGAAGAAACTAGTTGTCGTGAATGACATGGTTCATGTGAAACATTTTAGCACGAAAATTATCCAAATCGAAAAAGCATTTRTATYAATGYYGGTTCGCATTTGTATCAACTTGGATCGCTGTATTGAAATCTTTTCTTTTTTCTACTCTAGAAGAATGGTTTTGGATATATCTAGGTCAAAATTATCAATAACGATGGACAGATAAAGAGTATAGCGAATTTTCTTGAATGTACATAGATTTGAAAAGTGCAGATATGAATACAAAGCAGTATTTTTTGTYCCTTCAGTTTTTAGACGGTAAATCTATGCAATGGACTTATCTCTGAATAACCACTAACATCATCGCAAGACAAACAACAAGCTACAAAAATATCTTGAATTACTGCTAAATATGACCTTAATTTCTTCTTAAAACATTAAACAATTGCTCCACAGAGATCTCAGAGTGCACAAATTCATACTTTTGAAACAAAAACTTACCGTGAAGCTGCAATGTGAGTAAATTCCTATATCAAAGGAGCGAATGAGAAACTCGCAGCACACCGACACATGRAAAAGACAGCCCTCTTCAAAGATAATTTAGGCTAGTAAATATGCTGTGAGAGGTTAAATAGCTGGTGTCGGGTTACTTTYGCTTAGTATCCTGCATAGTTTGTAAACCGTTTTACACTTGAAGTGCCATAATTATCACAGAAAGTTTCCTAAATCTATATAGAACAGCACCCATAGCCTACCGAGTATAGGCAATATATATGTCAAATTGTATAACGTAGTAGATAGTTTAGTCGTAATGGGGTGGGTTAACGCCGTAAATACAAGAAAAGAGCATACCTTTGTCAGAATTTGAAGACAACTAGAGAACTGTCTGGCACTCTAGACAAAACTCAATTTTTTGTAAGCAAATCCGTACTATTTGCTAATATACTCCGAGATGTTTTGTCTTTTCAGTTGCTAACACCACAGTTCAAACAAATAGACAGCAAACGTCAATGAAGTCAACACTTTCAAATAGTCTGGATTCCATTCGATTACAGTCAAGAGCGTGACTCTAGACTTGACCCTGGGAAGGGTGAACGCGGAAAAATTATTGAAGATTTCAAAATGGAAAGGGGGAAAAACATGGACAATCAGTGCACAATAATGGGACAGTTGTCCTTATCKATGAATAACAGCTGAAGTATTTTATTCCAGCCAGCTGCTCTTTTGATAAGTMAACAACATTGAGAAATATAAAGAAAAACTACAATCCAGAATAATTCAGTTAATTTTGCCGGAGATTGCTATAGCCATGTGTTATCGCATCTGGAAGGAGTTTTCCCGATGTGACGAAGTATAGRAAAGGTAATTCGATGTTCAGTTTATAATAATAGATGTACTGACCTTGAACTGATGMACATGTATCATGATGAACGTTCCAATGAACTAGGTTCACATCTTCAT